ATTCCTGCTTATTGATACAGCACTAAGGGAAACATCCCTTCCTCTGTGAAAAAAATCACAATGAAACAAAGTAAAATTATCTTGGCAGAAGTCCCAGAATTAAAAAAGTTACTTTTTTGATCTGATGAAACACATACCCAACTGCAGTAAACTTAACCTATGTCTCTCAATGCAATTCTACAGCTAATACAGAGAAATGGCAGCACATTAAGTGAAGAGTATTCAGTTAATAGATCTTGTTATTACAATTGTATTTGGTTTTTTCCTCTTTTGCTCAAAATTCTTACAATCCTGGTATTTAATTTTGTTCATGCTTCTACAGTTCTGTCTATCCATACAGCTCTTGTTTTCTTCGTACACTTAAAATCGAGATGCCACCAGAATTCATTTAAAGTGCTTTAGAACTCCTTTATTTTGACATTTACTTTCTTTGTTATCATGAACATCACTGAAAGTCATGACAAAAGCTGCCACTTACTTCAAAAGGTGTACTACCACACCCTAAAATTGCTACTGTCAAACAGAAAATGGCAAGAGAGACTGTACTGTTTTCTACTTTCCACCATATTCCTAGGAATATAGTAAAGCTTGTTAGAAAGTCCAAAGTCCATAAATAGTTGCTGCTGGAAGGACAAAACTTACTGTTCAGTACATTCTCCAGTTTTTGCGTCATGGATCCTTCTACTTTTTCCGTTCCATCCGCTTCCAGTTTTTGATGGATTGCTGGAATAAAGTGTCTAGTTAAAATGCAGAACATTTTAATAGGTGGGAATATATTACATCAAAGTGACACTTTTAAACACTTTAAAAATTAAAAATAAAGTGTTATTTTTCTTGTTAGACATAAAAAAATACAAACACGCTTCATGGCAGCAGAGTCTAGTGGAGGACAGGGCTTAGAGCCAGACATTGCAGGATTTTAACCATTATTTCGACAGAGACTACCTGTGTCTTCTTGAACAAGATTACAATGCTCAAGTGAAAAAAAAACAAAAACTAGACAGAACAATCCCAAGTAGCTATCTTGCAGTACAATGGTTAATTCAATTTAGTATTTTCAAAAGTAAGTATCATTCAAGCACAAAATACTTTTGGTTTGTAGGGCATAATTTTATACTAATCTCATCAAGAAGGAATTACCAATAATTAAAGGTAATAAGGAGAGTCACGGGGAATTTGCATGACCCCAAAATAAAGTGCTAGAACACTCCCCCATCAGTTGTTTTCATCTATAAAAACGGACTCTCAAAACACATGGTTTAACTGTATCTTGTAGCAACACACTGGACTAACCATTACACAGAAGCATTGTGGGGCTTTTGCTCAAAACCACATGAAAGTGGAGTTCAATTTATTTTGTTCTGAAGATGTTATTTTTTTTACTGTCCTAAAATGCCCAAAGCCCCAATTCTTTTTTCCACGTGGTATTGCTAACAGATATGGAAAATATGTAGTATCAGCATTCATTTGTTGTTCTATTATAATTTCTTTTTCAGGACAGGAGAGATTTAACAGTATACCCTGACTACACAATGCCACTCTGGAAATACAAACAGTGAACAGAATGTAGATATTTCTTTCTTCTACTTCCCCTCTCTTACATAGCCTTCCTTCCCTCTTCCTCTCTATTCAGAACAACTGGCGGAGACAATTTTTTTTAAAGGTAGTATTCCTGTATATATATGCATATGGCATATATAGTACAGTTATTTAAAAATACAATTTTCCTTTTAGATTTTTAATCTGTTAACATATGTAAAATTCTCCTTATCAAACAGCCATCAGTTCCTGTTGCTTTAGATAAAATTAAGGCTCCTGTTGTTCCCTGCTGGTTCTCAGTAGAATGAAGTGAAGCTAAGCTACCCTTGAAAACAGCGGTGCTCAGTGCTTTGATGAAAGTGAGTAACCACATATTTCAGTTCAGAACACAAATACTGTTTTGAAACCAATCTCCCAATTGTTGCAGCTTATCTTGCTTTGGTTTGCATGGGAGAGCAATCCAAGTCCCTCACCTGCATTCTTTTAAGATGACACCATACTAGAAGATGCATTCCATGAGTATACCTAATGTGCTCCAGCAGATACCAGGAATTCAATCTACTAGGTGATACTTGAGCTAGTCTAAAGTACCACCCCAAACTACATACAATGTGCACATTGATATGTCATCACCAGCTGTTCTCTTCTACAACACCACCCCTACTTGCCCATGCTACATAGATGCAGATTTAGAAGAAGAAGCAAACACAGGCAGAAACTACCTTTATTAAGGCAACCCTGTGGCCTCAGTCCTACTGTAAACTCTGAGAGAGGGTGGCTGTTCTGAAATAGGATAGTGCTTGATCATCGCCAGCTTCCTTCAAAGGAGGAATTTTTATTGACCCGTAAAATGGATCCCATGCAAAGAATTTCAGCAAACTTTACTTTCCTGAAAGTGCAAGAGCACCTCTTTATTTTTGGCATTAAAATCATTAGAAAAAAGAAAATCTAGTTTAGGACACGATATTTCTAAAGACAATTAACACTTAAGTGAAACTAACAGATTTTTGCATGTTTTAAGGAACAGAGATCCATCTTAAAAGATGGTGTATTCTTGACTGTAGCACATATTTTATATATGACATGGATACCACTTACCTACAAGATTCTCTCTACAGTTTTGCAACAAAAACATTAACGGTTCTAATGATATCATCCCATTTCTATACATCAGTTCTGGTCATGTGCAGCCAATTACAGTACCACAATTAATGTTAGATACTGAAGGCCAAGTTCATCAGAACAGCAACTGCAACTTAAGCAGATATTTTAAAACCAAACAGTGCAAATATTATTGTAACTGTATTGAAGTGTAATGATTTAAATTTAAATATTTTGAAATCATTCTATGAAGCATATTTTTGAAATATATTTTTAAATGGAGGTAGATAAAAAAAGTAGCCATCAGTTAAGATTAACTTCAAATGCAACTTCATACCCTCAACTCATCACTGGCTGCAGTAAGAAGAGCAAGGAGAAAAATCCAGGTCTTTGAAGGCCTGAAGTAAAGGATGGGCAGGATCTTTTCTTGAATTGCCAGTTACCCTGGACTTGCCCGATACAAACTATCCAAGCTGGAACAGCAGCTGGAAACCTAGGAGAGCCTGTTTATCATTACTGAGCAGCTTTACTGTAAGGAGCATACAATAAATAAAGATGAGGAGAGGCAAAGTCTAGATGCTTCAACTATGGCTAGAAAATTCACTGTGTTTTGAATCATCTTTGCCAATAAGTGTTTAGGTTTCCCAGCTAAGTCAGAATATTTAAAGGCTTGCAAACTTCAGACCTGCAGTGAGATACTAACTAATAACAAGGAAAAGACTAAGTTGAGAGCTCATAATCTCTGAACTGTGACTAAATACTTCAGAATTGGTTAGTTCGCACGTGTTTTGACCAAAAAAGTTCTATCTGGCAAATAAGCCACAATACAGGCCTTGTAGTAAAATACACAGTGATTAATTCATTGCTGCTTGTGTCGAAAACAAATTTATTTAATCCAAGGAAGGATATGGTTTTCTACTTGGCAACCATAAATCTAACAAATTAAACCACACTACCCAGGATCATGCAGTTTTTGACTTGCAAATTTCATTATTGATTTATCCAGTAGACATTTTTAAAACACATTTTGAGATAGGCACCAAGAGTGGCATTCTCAAAACTTCCTCAGCCTAACTCAGCTCAAAGCAACATAGACGCTCACTTTCTACCATCTCCTGATTCAATGATGACTAGAAATGCATTTGGTATTATCTGAAAATCTTATCCATTGCCACAGAAATATGGTTAAAGAAAAAAAAATAAACCTGAAATGAATCAAACCCTTTTAGTCAGATGCAGAAAATAAGAGGGGGAAAAAAATATAAAAAAGGAATGACTGACTCTGCAAAATATTTTTGAAGGTCTGATGTGGTAACTATAAAGAACTTGGCACCAAAGCACAGTAATGGAAGGATGAAGAACACGTGTTAACATGCTGCCAGGATTCACACCAATGCATAAATAAAAATGTCTTCGGTTCCCTTTGTTGAAAGATTAGTGATTTTCTGTAATTTGAACAAAATATAAGGACATTATTGATGAGGACAGTACCCCTATGTAGGGGAGAAACTCCTGAATGGATGCAACAGGAGTGCATTAGCTGTAAAATAATGAGCAAAGCAATACATAAAGATAGAATGTCATGAACAGAGCTGGTAATACATTAGACTATGAAAACCTGAAAAACCTACAGTTTGTTAGTATGGCCAATAGTCAATACTACTAAAGTGGTGGGTTGTGTTTTGTTTTGTTTTGTTTAGGGGGGGGGGTTCCCTGAGATTTCTAGATATTTTTGCAAATTGGCTTTATTTTGGTAAACATTGCAGATGCAAGCAAAAATTACAAAATACTGAAGTGAATGTAGTACTGTCTTTAATTGCGTTTTTGTGTTTTGTTTCTCTAGCACTTACTTTTTCAAGTTTGCTTACTCCACACAGTGGCAAAAACAAAATAAAATGGCCAGACTTAAAATGATAAAAAAATAATTAAAGCACAGTGCCAGGAGTGGAGGTTTTATGGAAATAAGAAACCAAAAATTATAGCCTAACAATATTGTGAGGCCTGATAACTTTGCTCTCACACAGGTCTATATTTAAGCAAGTATGACATTTCTAGGCAAATACCTTAGAAACAGACAGGAAAACGGAGTTTATTTTTCTCTTTATGCATCCATTAAAAATTCCAGGACTGGACCCAGGCCTTTGCCAGTATACTTCAGAATTTTAGAGTATGGGAAATGCTATTCTCTTTTTACCAACAGAGTGCCAACCTTCTGGATCTATGAAAGCTAATGGTAGAATAAAAGCAGGTTTTAAATGTTGCATGTATTTTAAAAGTGGTAAGGAAATCAAAATGGAATGATGTAACATTAAATTAAGCTGGTTTTATGGCTTGTAGGTCAAGTCTGGCTCAAATTTAATTGTAGGTAATTTTTTGTACACTTGCTATCAACTGCAGTATTTGCTATTTGAAAACTCCAATTGCAAAATCAATCTTTCTTCTTGACACTTCACTGTTTTTCAAATGCAAAAAAAAAATTAACTTATTTGAAAAACAAAATTTCATAAAACATGACAGCCCCATAGTAGCTAGAAGCTGCCATGACTGCATCTATTTGGAGAAATTTTGCTAGTAATTAGCTTACATCGCTAAAACAGCTACTTATTTAAAAGAAGCTATATGAGCAGTCAACATAAAACCAGGTACAGGCTTCCGCACAGAAATGTCACTAGGGACTGAGACAACTCCTGCTGTGTTACACTTTTTCAAATCAGAACATCTCTTGCTTGAGATACTGAAAGAAAAAACCCTAGACAATTATATGCTAGAACCTGCATGAAAGGAAAGTTCAAGCCTTTTATCAATCATGATCACATAACTTTAGTTTTTTTAGAGTTGCAATTAAGGTAATAATTGGTCTGCTACAGAAACTGATGGTAAACATTTCATGAAGAGGAAGTATCCACCTGAGAGTAAACTACCTACCACCCCTTACATACTTTACTGGCACTCCTCTGTCAGGTCACCTCTCATTCAGCATGTGTTGCCCATTGCAACATCCCCCTTGTTACCTAGCGCTGCAAGATCAGAACACAAGTCTTCAACAAGCAAACTGAAATTAGTGTGCCTATTTTTCATTGTGC